TGCTAGAGTTAGTCATAATGATGCGTTCTATCATATATATTCCGTTTTTTCTTCAAAAAGTTAAAAACTTAAAAAAAATGTAAAAATATTAATTTTGAATTTTATTACATTAAATTTTCGAAATTTTCAAAATTTCGAAAATCCGAGATTGTAGTTTGATAGCGCATTCTATTCTGAGTCCTCTCATGCAAAGAAATTGGATCTAGTTTAACCCTCGCACGACCAGGCCATTTCTCATAACACGAACGACCAGGGGGGGGGGGGTTGTTACGACCCCCCACCCTGGCGTTTCGAAACGGAAGGTCGTAGAGCTTAGCGGAAAAAACCAACGGATTGCTCTCAACGAGATCTCGCGATTGGTGGTATATTTTTTGGTCCTAGGTCAACATTTGACCTACTTTTGACCGGTCAAAGGTCAAATTTTCGGAAAAATAGACTTTTTTCAACTTTCGGCGGCGATTGCGGCAAAACGGTGGGAGATATCGACTTGAAACCTTCACTATCGTGTTCCTTGATCAATTCTCTATCGTTTGGTATGTATTTCGTTTCCCTAGCTCTAAAAATGGCGCGTTGGGAGCGCCGGAAGTCGGCAAGGTCACAGTCGGCGGCAGAAATTCGAAAAATCAAAATTTAAATTTTTGAAATCTGATTGTATTTTTGGATTTGGGAGGTCCATTTGCTCCCTATAGAAGCTAATATTGCTGCATATTCCCATTGAGGTGACAACAATTAGCAAAATAGTGGTTCGGGCGCTTTTCAAAAATAGTACCGGACGCTGTTCCTCTTGTGACGTCATAGCTCCGTGACCTGACCTGACCCGGTCAAATTTCTTATACCATATGATAGCCAATACTTGCCCCAACATGCATGGGAAGTTTCATCATGATCCATCAACCGATGTCCGTACCACCGGCAGGAAACCTCGGGCGTTGGCACTCAGTTTGTGAAAATCCGGCCGGAGGCTGTACCTCTTATGACGTCATAACTCCGTGACCTGACATGACCCGATCAATTTTTTTTTCGACAAAAGATGCGCAAAGGTTGCCCCAGAGGGTATTGAAAGTTTCAGCCCGCTACGACAAGCCGTTTAGTGTGCACTTCGAAAAAACCTCAGGGGGGGGGGTTGATACAACCCCCCCTAGGCGTTCTAGGGTTAAAAACTGAGCTTTTGGGAGCGATTGTCGTGGTTCAATGTTTTGCGTCGAAATCGGCCGAACATGACGTCGCTCTGACGTCATTTCCGGCCGACCTATGGTAGCTACGAAGTTCATATTTTGACACAAGGTGTCAAATTGAATCAGAAGAAAGTACTGAAAGTTTGGCGTCGATACGTCAAGCGGTTTGGAAGTTATTGCAGAAAAACGGGAGGGGGGCTATGAATAGCCCCCCCCCCCCAGTGGGGCGCGGGTTAACGCCCTCCCGTCTAGCTCGGCCCCTGGGCCAGGTAGCGACATGAAGCAAGCGGCATTGAAAAGACATTAAAAAATAATGACGGACATATTCAGTTTTGTTTTTGGTTCAGGTCAAATGCCAGGTCGCCAGAGATCATTAAAGGATAGGTAAACTTTGTCTATTTTAATTGACCAATTTTCGAAACACTAACGCATAACTCGGGAACCAATAGAGATACAGCGCCACCAAAAAGCGCATTCGATAGCTCTTTCACAGGCCTTTCTGGGCATTTCTCTCAGATTTGATATAAGGTCAACGGTATGGGGAAAAACTCTAAAAGGAACAATTTTTACGAAAATGTTTCGCTGTAATGGCTTTTGGCACAGAGAGTAACGCCGTTTTGCCAGCATCGTGTTCCTCTCGTCAAAGCGCTCCGAATGAACTAAAATTTGACATTTCGTTTTTTTTTAAATTTGATATCACGTCAACGTCATGAACTGGCCGCAAAAGGTCATGCTGCATATCAGTCGGTCCGCATAAAGAGCAGAACACATCAAAGGCAATTTCATCGCTCTAGCATGCATCTATCAAAAGTTAATAGCGTTTTTTTTTTTATTTTAGCTCGAATGCTTGAATGGACGGATTGACAGAGCCTAAACCCACGCTAAGCAGAGCTTGTTGCGTAGACCCCGACCCCTACCGCCCGATCACGCAATTCCAGGTAACGAGATAATTTGATGCCAAAGTTTATCGTGCCCTTCAAAGCCGAGCAGCGTATTTACAAATTGCAACCGAGCTCCGCCGTAGGGTATTTTATTTCCGCCGTAGTGTATTTAACTTGGGGTATTTTCTACCATACATCTGCCTGAGCTTGGGGTAATTACAATTTGGCGGCGACGTTCAAAAATGATGCACCTTTTTTCGCAGTAAAGGTTATCGCATGTGCATATTTTTGCCTTTTGGTTGCGCTTTTCCCTCGCTCGTATAGGGGGAGGCGTTGAAGGGACCCCATCGGTTTTTCGTGAGTAACTCGCGTAAAAACCGTCCGATCGCGACGAAACTTTCAATGCCCCCGATTTTATCAATTTTACACCTACCCTGAAAATTTTATGACCCTGACCCAAATGACATTTGACCTGTGACCTATTTCTCGAGATCATGTTTGGCCCGAATCACGATTCGACGTATGTCGGCTCGCATTAGCCGCGCGTTTGCAGTCTTTACGTGGTTTCAAGCGTTGAAACATGTGATATGATGCTGGTCCCATGCATTAGGGTGGGTGTCAAGGTCACCTGAAGGTCAGGTCAGCTCAATGACCTTTGATGACCTCGGTTCACTTTTCCGAGTTTTACATGTTTCTAGGCTAGTTTTTGGAGCTGATTTCGAATTTAGCAACCATTCGAACATTGCAGGGGGTGTAACGAAATTATCCCGACACCTTTCTGAGTAATGTTCTCAGATTTGACCTCAGGTCAACGGTTTAGCCTCCAGAGGGCAAAACTCCAAAAATAGCCGTTTTTACGAAAAACGTTTTTTTCGGCAATAACTTTTGACTCAAAAGAGCCACGACATTACTTTTGCCACCATCGTGTTCCTCTCGTCGAGACGCGTCGAATGAATTATAATTTGACCTTGAAAGGTCAACGTGAAAATTTGACCTCAGGTCAAGGTAATGACCTGACCGGAAAAGGTCATGTTGCATATCAGTCGATCCGCAACGTCGAGCCGAACACATCTAAGGCGTTTTCAGCGCTCTAGCACGTCTCTATCAGAAGTTATTAGCGAAAAACTGTTAGATTCTGTTCGTGACCTGAGATGACCTCGGGGACATAACGAGGGGTCACAGTTGCCATTTTCCGGCTCAGTGTGTCCATTTTACCTACATCTCTATGTTTGAGAGTGTCTAGAATAGCGTTCGTGCAAAAGACGCTTTTCAATTTTCTCCCATTGACTTATAATGGAGAGGTCGCAAAATTGACCTGACCTTAGGTCACCGATATCAAAATTCCGAGACATACATTTTATAGATAATGTTGCTCTTATCAATCGCTGAAAGTTTCAAGGCAATCGATCAATCGGTGTAGCTATGACGAGCATTCTTATTTTTTTCTGAGGTGAGGTCACTTGGCGTGACCTGGTGACCTGACCTAAGGCGACCTGGATCTGAAATTTTAACAACATGTGCTTAAAAGATGCACGAACAGGTGTGCCAAAAACGGCGGCGCGGAGCGCCGCCGTTTTTGCCCTCCCCCCCCCAGCAGGGCGCGTTGCTCGGCAGACCCCAGCGGGGCGCGGGTTAAAAGTCACTGTCGGTTAGCCCGCGCCCTGATAGGGTCTGCCGAGCAGCGCGGTCTGATGGGGGGGGGGGCATTTTGCCCCCCCCCCCCCTAAGATCTCGAGAACCACGCAACAGTAGCGACAAGCGACAAACAGCGTTGGATAGCCCCAACGGGGAAATACCTTGTGACCCAATTTCATTGACCTCGGTCAAACCGATGACGTCACAGGTCAGGTCAAAGGTCAAATTTTCACCGTTTACAGGCATTTCAAGAAATGCGTTGTAGAATCGAGTAAAATGCATTTCATTGAAAATCATCGATGGGGAAATGTTCGTCAAACCCATTTTTTGCTATTTGAGGTCACTGATACCAGGTCAGGTCACAGAGGTCAGGTCACTGAGGGTCACAAATTAAAAATATCATGTGATGCATGTTTTATGGTCCATTTTATACGCCAAATGGGATTATGTGAGACAGACAGCCCTTGGGGTCAGTTGAGATTATGTTTTGGTGAAAGTCAGGTCAAGGTCAGGTCAAGGTCAGGTCAAGGTCAGGTCCAATCAGGTCAAATTTAAAAGTTGATATTTTGCATAAAATGGGTATCGATTCGATGCAGCTTGTCACGGGGAGTTCAATGGTGGTCTCCGTTTTGCGCTACGTGGTCTAGAATTGCTAAAAATTGAGTTCAAAAATTTGAAGTCATCAATTTTTAACAGTTTTTTCGCTATAACTTGGCCAAAAAAGAGGTATGGATCTAAAATTTGGTATGTACTCATATATCAAAGAGCGCAGGGACTATCACATATATTCCGATTTTTTTTCGAAATTCGAAAATTGTTTGGATTTTTTTTTTGAGTTTTTCTAAAAAACATTTTTTTTTTATTTTTTGGGCTAAAATCCCAAAATTTCGAAAATCCCAGATATTAGTTTTGTAGCGCCGTCTTTTCTCTACACAACCACATAAAGAACTTTAAAATTGCTTGTTAACTGTAGAATTGGCGAGCGTTTCAAGATATGTTTTTTGCTCATTTTTACTCGAACATGACCTCAGTTTGACCTCAATAACTCCTGACCCGAGGTGACTTGTGGCTTGAAATTGTGTGTGAAGGTGTCAAATTGATGCCCGGTAAGTTACCAAAAATTTGGCGGCGCTGCTCGCTGCCGTTTTCTCGCTATTTAAGAAAAACCACAGGGGGGGGGGGGGCAAAATGGCCCCCCCATCAGCGCGCGGGGTAGGTGTCGGTTAGATTAGCCTTGTGAGCTAGTGCAGACAGTTGACCAGGCTCCCGGCTGAGCAGGTCGTGTTATTGACGTTTCTCTGTGTTTCAGATTTTCGTCCCGGACATTTCCCCTATCGAGAGACACGGCTTCCGACGTATGGAAAACGCTTCAAACCTGACGACGTGGTCATATCAAAGAAATATGGCGTGACCTCAGATGGTAATAAATGCTACGCAGTGACAATTTTTACCTGTTGTAATTGGCTTTGGAAAATGAACGTTACGTGTTGGCTACCTTGATATAGCTGGTTAGCCCAGTCGATTGAGGATCAAAAGCGATCTGCTGCAATGCGTTGCATATTTTTCTTTTAGACTCAGACGATCCAAGATAAAAGTTTAACTGGTCTTCAGCAGCGGAACATCTTTATTTAATTTTCTTTCGTTTTCAGTGGTCAACTTATTTAACTTCAGACATCCACGAGCACTCACACATAACGAAACTGAAGCAAGAGTGAACTCAAAACAAACGAAAGGTAGGCAGCAATAGAAATGTATTGTTTTGAGATTGTTTCTCCACAAAATTTAATCATGCACTATTATAGAAGGGACTTTCCCAGCCAAGGTCCGTTACCGTGCGCATGGCCTTCGTATAGGGAAGTGATGTTCCCAAATAAGCTTTTTATAAAAAAAACGAGCATTTTGCTCTTGACATCTGTGCATAGGTACTGCTTTTCATACCTATATGATTCGTTTTCGGATTTACATATCCCTACACACACATGCACAATGAATGACATCTTTTTTCAGGTTTCTCCATTTATTTCAAGGCAAAGGCATATAGAAACCACAACTATAAGGAAACAAGAAGAAACAGGACTAGAAACCATACCTATAATGTTACGCGTAAAGTGGACGGAGCCAAAATACACTTCTTAAACACCAGCAGTTTTGAAGACCACATGGATATCAGCACACTCAATGGTAAGCCCAGTAAAATGACCAAAGTCGTGCTACATGTGCAATGCATACATGGTTATTTTGCATCCGATTTTGATAATAGCATATCATGGCACCGTCAAAACATACCACATTTCGTGTGGCAGCGCCGTCTCACTCTAGCAACACAACAGACGCAGTAAGCGGCGTGAATGCACTGACGGGTCATCGCTGAGAAACCGCAAAGAAGTAACAAGTCCATCAGGCTGGATTGGGCCACGCACCACACAGGGGCGGATCCAGGAAAACTCCAAGGGGAGGGTCATGAATCGAAGTGGTGCCCCTACCTATACCCAAAATTAAAAACTCAACGGATTTCGTCCACTTCATTTTGGTGGTGCCCCCATTTTCAGTTTTTTATTTTCAGTTTTTTATTTTTAGTCAGTATCTTAACTCTTAGCCACAACCACATTTACCAATTGTAAGCAAGTATATATGAATGTGCTATGTGTATATGTAGGTATATGTTGTGGACGCTGAGTAGTGAGTACTTACCAGGAACGTTATCAGGTAAGCAAATCGTTGTCAGTCCGACGAACTTGACACTGGCGTCTAAAGTCCTTGACACTTCAGGCTTGTCAGGGGCACCAAAGTCCTTCCAGGGACACCACAAACCTGTCAGGGGCACCTATGGCCTTGTAGGGGCTCCACAGGCCCGCCAGGAAGCAGGGGCACCACAGGCCTAGCAAGGACACTACAGGCCTGTCAGGGGCACAACGGGCCTGTTGGGCCCATGAGCACCCCTAGGGGCAGGGGCACCACAGTCCTTCCAGGGGCACCGCAGGCCTGTGAGGGGCACCAGCGGCCTAGCAGGGGCACCACTGGTCTATCAGGGGCACCACGAGCCTGTCATAGCCAGGCATCTCAGGCTTGTCAAGGCCCAGGGGCACCACAGGTCTGTGAGGGGCACCAGCGACCTAGCAAGGGCACCAGTCAACACAGGTCTGCCAGGGGCGCCACAGACCTGCCAGGGGCACCACAGACCTGCCAGGGGCACCAGAGGGCTGCCAGGGGCACCACCGGCCTTGCAGGGGCACCTTGGGCCTGTCAGGGGCACCACGGGCCTGCCGAGGGGCACTTCAGACTTTTCAGGGGCACCAGTCCTCTCCGGGCGCAGGGGCACCAGAGGCCTGCCAGGGGCACCAGCGGCCTAGCAAGGGCACCAGAGGCCTGCCAGGGGCACCACAGGCCTAACAAGGGCACCACGGGCCTGTCAGGGGCACCTCAGGCTTGTCAGGGCCCAGGGACACCACAGTCCTTCCAAGGGCACCGCAAGCCTGTCAGGGGCACCAGAGGCCTGCCAGGGGCACCACAGGCCTAGCAAGGGCACCACTGGCCTGTCAGGGGCACCTCAGGCTTGTCAGGGCCCAGGGGCACCACAGTCCTTCCAGGGGCATTACAAGCCTGTCAGGGGCACCAGAGGCCTAGCAAGGGCACCACAGGCCTGCCATGGACACCACAGGCCTGCCAGGGGCACCACCGGCCTTGCAGGGGCGCCTCAGGCCTGTCAGGGGCACCACGTGCCTGCCGGGGACACTTCAGGCTTGTCAGGGGCGTTACAGTCCTGTCAGGGCCCAGGGGCACCAGGCCCGTGGTGTCCCTGCTAGGCCTGTGGTGCCCCTGGCGGTCCTGTGGTGCCCCTGTCAGGACTGTGATACCCCTGATAGGCCGGTGGTGCCCCTGGCAGGTCTTTGGGCCCCCGGGCCTCAAGGGGGGGGGCCATGACCCATGTGACTCCCCCCCTTGGATCCGCCCCTGGCACCACATCTCTACTTGCTACTGTCTAAGCTTCTAATATAACTCCAAATGATCCATTCAACAATTGAAATTCAAGACCAATAAAAGTCCCAGAGAGCTGCTGAGAGTCAACTGCAAGGGTAGCCAGCTCACCAGTCATGATTTCAGTCAGCCAGGGTTTGGTGTTTGTTTAATTTTTCAAATATATAGGGAAACATAAACAAACTGTTCACGAACAAATGTGTTCGCGAACAGGTGACGTCATCAGTTAAATTAACCCGCGCACCGACGGGGGTCTGCGCCAACTTCGTACCGACGGGGGGGGGGGGCGGGCGGATGACCGCCCCCCCCCCTGAGATCTCGAGAACGAAGCAAGATAGCGACAAGCGGTAAACGGCAAGGGATACGCACGGACAAGGTCTACAATTTTTAAAAGGTCATTTTCAGGTCAGGTCAAAGATGACGTCACAGGGGTCAAAAAAGTCAAAATGGCGGCGCTAGGTATGGAGAGTTTTTCTCGAATAACTTTCGAACTAGTCAATATAGGAACAAACTAAGGGCAGCATCGTGATCCTCTCGTCAATCCGCATCGAATGATATATATGTTGACCTCGAAAGGTCAAGGTCAAAGGTTGACCTCAGGTCACGTGACCTCGAGGTCATCATGTATATCATTCGATGCGCCTTGACGAGCTGAACACAATGTGACCATCCGCGCGGCTGTATCTTGATCCTGTACGGAGTTATTGTCAAAAAACCGCTGGTTGATGACGTCACGTGACCTTGCAGCTGCCCAACAGCAAAACAGATCTCAAGGTAGTGAAGGTTGATCGTATATGAGGTCATGTATGGTTTATGGGGCCATTCCGACCCGTTTTAGTGGTAAAAACAGGGAGTTGATTTTTCCCCCATTGACTTATAATGGGGAGGTCGAGAAATTGACCTGACCTTAGGTCACCGATATCAAAATTCCGAGATAAACAAATTGTAGCTACTAATGACCTTATAACATCCTGTGACTTTCAAAGGCCTCCGACATCTACTGTAGCTCTGGCACGGTGACAAAGTTGCAAAAAGTGACTTGAGGTTGGGTCATTCAAAGTGACCTGGTGACCTGACCTTAAAAGATAGAAGGTTCAAACTTGCACACCATATGTAAAATTGATGAGAGAATAGTCGTACCAAATTTCGCGGCGCTACGCGCCGCGGTTTTCCCGCTATTCGCGAAAAACCTCAGGGGGGGGGGGCGGATATCCGCCCCCCCGTCGCGTCGGTGCGCGGGTTAAGGTAAAAAAACAACGAACAGTTCGCAAACGTTCATGAACTGTTCACGAGCACGGTAAAGAATGGTAGATAAGACCCCCTCCTTATCCGTTTCGCTCCTCATTGAGATAGAACCTTGCAAAAAAGCGAGCGTATGCGTCATTACGAGACACAGCAACTGGTATCCGATCTTAAGGTCTTTGACCATCCGGTGACCACTGAAGTCAGGTCGAGTGTCATTGAGTAGGGGTTCAGTTTTTGGTAAATAACTTCGCCGCAAATCGTGACAGGGCCGCGAATATGGCATCATCGTGCTCGCCGTGGCCAGGCGTGTCGAATGAAAGACTTGTTGTTTGGGTAAGATCATTTTAGGATTGTTGACCTTAAGTCAAGGTCAGGTCAAAACAACTCGCTAGCTAGCTCAATTTGATCGAGAGGTATTGTCGAAAAACTCCTACCGCACCAAACAAACTTAGTGGCGTCTTATACATTTTATTTGTGATAAATATATTTTCACAATTAAACTTATAATTAGTGAATAGTGAGTAGGGATTGTTTAGGAAAAAAGTTAACTTTTTATTCTAGTAAGGAAATAATGGACTAATTTCAATTAAAAACTCTTAGCAATCAATGAAAAACTCAACTCAGTCTCAAATCCTCACTTCTCGTAACCTTCCGATGTCTGCAAACAAGTTGTCGATACTGTTTGCGAGCTGGAGATGTGATTATCAGTTTGGTTTGAGCAGATCCCTATAATATCATCTTCGTCGTGTTGCATTGCGCTGTGTCTTCCTGAGACCCTAGGAGGCAGACTGTGCCGCAATGCCACCGCCAACGGCTATAAACCCAACCAGCTCGGCACGACGACCTTATCAAGTCGGCCGTCCAAGCATAGCGATCCTGAGAGCACCGTGAAAGCTGCTCCATTAGCACCGGCCAAATTACCCCGCATTGTCGTTTTGAAAAGTTTTGTCCAAAAAGTCATTACGTTATACGGAATTACTTGAAATCACTCTTAACCCGCGCACCGACGGGGGTCTGCGAAAACTTAGTACCGACGGGGGGGGGGGCGGATGACCGCCCCCCCCTGAGATCTCGAGAACGAAGCAAGATAGCGACAAGCGGTAAACGGCATCGGATACGCACGGTCAAGATCTACAATTTTTACTAAGGTCATTTTCAGGTCAGGTCAAAGATGACGTCACAGGGGTCGAAAAAGTCAAAATGGCGGCGCTAAATATGGAGAGAGTTTTTCTCGAATAACTTTCGAATTAGTCAAGATAGGAACAAACTAAGGGCATCATCGTGATCCTCTCGTCAATCCGCATCGAATGATATATATGTTGACCTCGAAAGGTCAAGGTCAAAGGTTGACCTCAGGTCACGTGACCTCGAGGTCATCATGTATATCATTCGATGCGTCTTGACGAGCTGAACACAATGAGACCATCCACGCGTCTGTATCTTGTTCCTGTACGGAGTTATTGGCCAAAAACCTTTGGTGACCTTTGATGACGTCACATGACCTCGCAGCTGCCCAACAGCAAAACAGACCTCAAGGTAGTGAAGGTTGATCGTATATGAAGTCATGTATGGTATATGGGGCCATTCCGACCCGTTTTAGTGGTAAAAACAGGGAGTTGATTTTTCCCCCATTGACTTATAATGGGGAGGTCGCGAAATTGACCTGACCTTAGGTCACCGATATCAAAATTCCGAGATATACAAATTGTAGCTACTAATGACCTAATAACATCCTGCGACTTTCAAAGGCCTCCGACATCTACTGTAGCTCTGGCACGGTGACAAAGTTGCAAAAAAGTGACTTGAGGTTGGGTCATTCAAAGTGACCTGGTGACCTGACCTTGAAAGGTAGGAGGTTCAAACTTGCACACCATGTGTAAAATTGATAAGGGAATAGTCATACCAAATTTCGCGGCGCTACGCGCCGCGGTTTTCCCGCTATTCGCGAAAAACCTCAGGGGGGGCGGATATCCGCCCCCCCCGTCGGTGCGCGGGTTAAGAAAACGCTGAACATCCTAAGCAATGGGACCACAACGTCGAAAGTTGTCTACAGCCCGAATATTACTTGCTATACAATTTTTTGAACGGAAGTAAAAGTTACCATTTTATAATCAAATTCATGTTTTATTGATTTTGAAAAAAATACGAAGGGGATTTTTTTTTGGAAGAAAACTCCACGGATTAGCTCCCCCAATGACACATGAATAGAGGCTAGAATTATTTCATTCACTTTTGTTATTTCATTCACTTAGACTAGACTTATTTCTTATCGTAAATGTGGGGGCGGCCAAATTATACAGCCGGCCAAATTACCCCATCCTCGCCTACCTTGTATGTACCACTTTCGAAAGATTACTGCTGAAAAGTTACGCAACTTTTTGCCCACCCTGCCATGCATGCAAATTTAAATCATATAGGGCTATTCACCTTCAGGAAGACAGACAACCGAAGCAAGAATTTCGGGGTAAGTTAAATTGTGCTGCAAGTTGATGCACAATGTGAGGTAGCATTTTACACTTCTATTTCGCGGTTCCTTCAGAATGATAACGCTCACTAACCATCTTATGGCAGTCGATCTGGATCGTAAGTCTCCTTTGTGCTAAACGCTTAACACGTTTTATTTGTTTGGCAGACAAGAACAATAAGCCATGAACCCCTGATATCTACAGGTGTATACGCCTGAAAAGACTAGTCTGGCATGACGGCACAATTAATCTTTGCTCTAACGCCAAGGACACTAAGCTTTGCCGAACTGATCGGAGTCGGTGTTTGAGCACGAAATTCAGGTGCAGGTGAAGTGGTGCGCGCCAATATATTATGTAAGCATCCTTTTGGGCTTTCTTTTCTTTCAACTTATTGTCATGCTTTTCACAGGGAACCTGAACGTCAACAGCTCAAGGATACGAGCATATTTTGGATACGAAAAACATCCGTCTTATCGATGGTCTTCAGTTCGACTTTTAGTGGACTACAGATCGTCGAAGTGTAAGTCTGCTATGTTTATAGATTTGGTCATATTTTACGAACCATGCTAACACTGTTATTATAATTTGTCTGCTGCGCTGACCACTCAGCAGGCACTAATTCATCTACATACATGAGCAGACATGCAGTTCAAATCCATGGGCCCTCCCACCTTCAAAAAAGTTAATGGATTGGCATGGAAGTGATGTCGCTCGGTTCAGGAAGAGCAAAAACGAATATCTACCAAATTTCACCGAAAAATATTCACTGGTTTTCAAGATATTAGACTTTTACTTTTGTTTACTTCTTGGGATCTCCGCTGTTCCTAGCGACTTTATTTTGGAAGTGCGGCGCTTGCGGCAGATGTTGCGCGCAAATAACAATACCACCACTGCTTCACAAAGATGTTAGTATAAGGTTTTAAAATCGCTAGATCTGCGCTGACGTCACACATTCAGAGGGGGCATTCTAATGCATTAGCCCCTCTGAATCAAAGTGCTGCAAATTTGGAATTAGATATTTTCGATTTGAGGCATTTTTCGATGTTGTGAGTGCTCAAACCGGTAAAAGCAAGCCAGGGACCCCATTTTGGCTATCTCAAATCAAAACTAATGTTAACCCGCGCCCCGTAGGGCTACCGGCGGACCCTACCACCCGTAGGGGGGGGGGGCGTTTCGGCCCCCCCCTAAGATCTCGGAAAGTTACCGGCCGATTTTCAAAATTCAAACGGCGTTCGATAGCCCCACCCGGGAACTACCTTGTGACCAAATTTCATTGACCTAGGTCAAACCGATGACGTCACAGGTCAGGTCAAAGGTCAGATTTTCACCGTTCACAGGCATTTCAAGAAATGTGTTGTGAAATCGAGTAAATTGGTAATTTATTGAATACCATCGATGGTACATTGTTCGTCAAACACATACTTTGCTATCTGAGGTCACTGATGCCAGGTCAGGTCACAGCGAGGTCAGGTCACCGGGGGTCACAATATGAAAGTGTCGTGTGGTACATGTTTTATGGTCCATTTTACATGACAAATGCGATTATCTGAGTTAGGCAGCCTTTGGGACCAGCCTAGGTCACGTTTTGGTGAAGGTCAGGTCAAGGTCAGGGCAAATTAGGTCAAATTTCAAAGTTGATATTTTTGCATAACATGGGTATCGATTCGATGCAGCTCGTCACGGGGAGTCTAATGGTGGTCTTTGTTTTGCTCTGCGAGGTCTAGAATTGCCAAAAATTGAGTTTGAAAATTTGACGTCATCATTTTTGAACCGTTTTTTCGCCATAAACTTGGCCAAAAAAACGAGGTATCGATCTGAAATTTGGTATGTAGATAGAAGACGGTAGGTAAAATCACATATATTCCGTTTTTTTCGAAACTCAAAAAACTTTTTGGATTTTTTGGCTAATATATCCCCAAAAAAATGCTTTTTTGATTTTTGGGGGTCAAAACTCAAAAATTTCAAAAATCCGAGATAGCAGTTTTGTAGCCCTGTCAATTCTACAACTTTCATGTCTTGATCATTTTTCTGTATCTTCAAAGCTGTAGGCCTGACAGGTCTTCTCGCGAAGGTCTTTTTACGGTCGAAAATGACAGAACATGACGTCATTCTGACGTCATTTGTGGCCAACCTATCATAGCCTCTGGAAAATTTTTGGTCACAATGTGTAAAATTGATGCCCAGAGGGGTCCTGAAAGTTTGGTGCCGATATCTCCAGCCGTTCAGGAGATATCGACCGAAAATGACAGGGGGGCGTTTCGCCCCCCCCCCCCTACGGGGCGCGGGTTTTAAGGTGGGATGGCCACTTTAAAGTCTCAAAAACTCGTCACCGCCTTGTACTTACAATGTGCATGCGCTCGATGGGAATTCGACTGGATGTGACGTCTAGGAGGCCCTGAAAATATAGCTTAATTGATAATGGTGAGTTATTGCCTAAAACGAAGAAAAATGCTGTCTTCAGAAGTATCAGGCTATGATCTATGTTATAAGGATTATCAGGATGGAAGAAATAATAACCCTACCCTCATCCCTTTTAAACCCATCTGCCCTACTAACTGTGTAGAAAGTTACGTCCCTGTAATACGTTTAATTTTGTCTGTATAGGCTGCGTTAATTAATATTCGTTAAAAGAAGACAACTATGCAGGTGCTAATTACACTACATGTATGTACTCTTCTTGAAAGGGCGAATGCAGAAGCAATATGCCTAGTTGGATCCCACGTAACACTCAACATTATGGGTACATTTTTCAGTTTCGTCTGAAAATGGCGTGATCGAGATGAGGAGAGTGCGAAGTTCATCGAACCAATTTCGAGATGGCATACGCACAAATAAACAAGAGAAGGCTGGCGGTCAACTGTTTATAAGTAAGCAACTATTTCGCCGATGCCAGCTTCCATTATTGAGTCAAATCGTTCACGGTTAGGTTTAGTTCAACATTCCGCGTACAAACTGGCTGCATGAGCCGTAAAGGGCATGGCTGCAGTAATCATTGGGGACCGGGCCCAAATGCAACGATTTGTGGCGGCTCGTAAGCTGAAATACCAATACCAATAATCATTGGGGGAAGTTAATTGCATAACGGCATAACGTAATGATCGCTCCTGTCCGTCTCGGCAGATACCCGGACAGTAGCAATCATCGCGTCACATCAGCCATCGCGCTGGTCACTAAGCAGCATTAAGGGGAAAATGACTCCCTCTACATCCTTGTTCTAAACAAGGTATTTTTGTTTAGAACTATTTATCTTACGTGACATCAATCAACTTATGCAACTGTTAAACCTAGGCACATGTGGTCTATACGTGTAAGGCTAATCAGTGATCATCTGGGAAAGTGTAATTGCGAAATGACATAACGTAATTCGGCATAAGAATGATGTGAATGACATTATTTTCTATCATGTCTGCCCTTCGCCAGTCAGGGACGCAATGTTCAGCAACTGCTTCGGCGGCGTGGCGAACGAAACTGGCTGGAAAGATCTTGGCGCAGAGCCGGACACGCTGAAAAAGTGTACATGCGCGTGCAAAAGGCACTATCAAAGGAAAAGATCGAGCCCAGCTGCCGCGATTCTGCAAAGGTGCGTGCACTTAAAACCTTGTAAAAATTGTGTAGTAAATGGTATGCAGTATCTTTAAAAGGTATTGTTTATGACAAAAAGGCAACGTCTTGTATGGTTAGCATTGTGATCGTCCTTCAATACCATTTTATGTACTTTGAAGCCGTCCGTAACCATCCTTCCTTGACCTCTCCAAGATGTCAATCTCCTATGGATATTTCCGACAGGCGAAGATGCTTCTGCTCCTCATCAGCGAAAAATCTGGGCGTTCTCATCGCAATCATACCCCAGCCAGCTGAATGTCCCAAAGAGACCACCAGAGAGGCCTTCACTGATTTCAACAAAGACTTCAGCAGGCAAAACATGTGTAAAGAAGACAAGAAAAAACAGTTGCCCTCAGGTAAAGTGACCATATTGTAGTAACTGTCAATATGGTATAACTCAGCACTTAAAGGTAGTGTGACAGCTTTCTTGGACCATATGGAGTTAATGACCCGGATAAGGAGAACCGGATTTTTAGAACTTATCCATACCTTCAAAACTCATGGAAACGTCTCAAATTCTTCAAATTTTGAGTACCCCAGTGCGGAATTCGCCCCGACGGGTTGTCGGTCGTACCCCAACCACATTTCACACCACTATGAACAATAAATGCACACACTAAAATCGCTATTACCGATAGGCTCATCCAATCAAGTTTCGATAAACCCGTTCATCATCATCTCCTGCGGTTTCGAACACGCCTGTTAGGTGGCTTCTGATGCTCGTCAAGGTCGGAATTTCCAAATACGCGTGGTGCGTCGGGCCGCGCGCTCTGACTTCGGCCAAGAAAAATGCGTCAGCTGATCATTGTCATTTCTGCCACTTGCGTGTGGTGAAATGGGGTCATAACGAGACGGCTGTTTCATATCAATTATTTTGCATAAAATCATACTTCATACCATAAATTAATGTTCGACAGCCAAATTAAAGAAACAATACCAATACAGGCTTACAGTTTAGTTCTACATTGTGTTGTCTACAATAAGACAGCTGATAACTCATTCCCGTACGTCGTAACTCTATAATGACCTTTGCTTATTGTCACATGTGCGCCGCATTCGCGATTGTTGCCGACGCCTGTTTGCAGGTCAGCCCACTACTGTTGTTATGCATATCGAAAAACCGATAAACTTTTAGGCAAAAAAGGCACTATTCCAGGCCCATTTTTGATTTTGTTTGCCATATTAGGAAAAAACAGAAGCTTCTTATCCTAGGCAAAATAAAATGGGAAATCATTGGAAGGTGGCACACTATCTTAAGTACTCGTATACCCAGTAGACCAGGTAGGTATGCCGCAGTGGCGTAGCCAGAAACTTCAGCGAAAGGGGGGGGGCATGGTGCTCGAGGGGGCGACTTTTCCCTTGAGAGGGGCGCCATTGTGAGCTAGTGACAGGGGGTCAGTCTAAAATGTAGCGTCATATATTCATGCATGATTTACTAGGTGTAGCAAAATACGAGTATAAGAACCAGGTTTCGCTGATTTTTCATAAAATCCAATTACCTAATTCAATTTGCAGCCCGGTGTTTTTTTATCAAAAGCCTTGATCTTTATGCATATTTAGCACGATATAGGAAAAGAGCTCAGGCTACGGACATGTTTTTTTTTCTCAAAATACACACCCATGCGAGTTCCAAATGGTAATATATACGTTGATCGATAGGCAGGGGTGTAACTTTTGCTTTTGAGATGGGGGTGCACTTGGTGATGGGGGCGACATTCAATGAGAATAGGGGCGCTTCCAAGGAGCACAGATGGTGCATATCTCTCAATAGGCGCGCACACAGGATTTTTGAACGGGGGGGGGGGGCACGACCTTCAAACTGCTCCCCATGACGAAGGGCCCCAGGCCCCAGCCGAAAAAGTTCCCCAATGCGATTAGATTTCGGTTGACTTGGTCACTTGAAACTTAGCTTTTGTCGATACATAATAAAACAATTGCTTCAGTACCCGTTCAATTTCCAAAGCATTGAATGCTCTATTTTTGTTTACGCAGCATGTTTCATTCAAATACGATTCAGTGATTAATAATCACCATCTGAACAATCACGTAAAATATTCGATTAATAAGCGTGGGTGCAAGGCCCTCAAAAATCAGTCCGGGTAGCGCCTGACTGCCAGCCGGCCGACCGACCCCGGCTACTGGCTAGCTAGAAGCGGAGGCTAGTCACGGGTAAGCCCGGATCTGTATGAGCGGGGCAGCACCCCCTTTGTCAATTCGCATATTTATTTAGCCACATAGACATGAAAAATCATTGCAATGATTCGTAGCGAGATCACAGACCAGAGATTTAACTTTTCTCACTTTTATACCACAAACTACAGACACAATTTTCAGGCGGCATGCCCACTTTCCTGTACAACTCACAATAACTTTTGAAATAAAATGAATATTTTTTTGCATGTACAATTTTAATTGTATGAACACTAAACACCCCAATGTTACAGTCCAATGGTCTAAAGTTGGGTATTACGAAATGACATTAAATTCATTCGCACGAATATCAATCAATCAATTGAATTTATAACGAAATTGCATTTTACTTTTTTATTCCAACCTTTTATAGAATCGGGGTGCCCCGGTGCCCTTTTTATGCTCGGCGACTGGCGACACCCACTTTTGCTGGAATCACCTTTTTATTGGGCGCCTTTCTACTGCTTGGGTCGCTTCTCTCCTGCTGACTCTTCTGCTCGGCGGGACTTACTTCTGATGGGCGCTCCTCCTCTGCTGGGGTTTCACTTTTCTGCTGGAGTCTGGCATTTCCCTTCCCTGATATGCTCTATTTTTGCTAGAGGCGTCCCTCTTCTGCCGGGCGAGCCCAACTTCTGCTGAAGGTGCTCGGGTAGGTCTGTTGGGGGCATTGCTCTTTTGCTGGGGAGCCCCTGTTCTGCTGGGACGCCCCACTTCCGCCGGGGCCGCTAGGGGCGCCCCACCTCTGCTGGGGGCGCCCCGGTCCCACTGCTGCTGGACGAACCCAACTTTTGCTCCAGGTGCCCCTTTTGTATTGAGGTGCCTCTCTTCTGTAGACATCCCTCTCCTGGTAGGGCGCCCCTTTCTGGTGTGGCGCCCCTTTCTGCTGGGGCGGCCCTATGCTGGGGGCACTCCTCTTCTGCTGGAGGCGCCCCACTACTGCTGGACGAGCCCAACTTTTGCTTGAGGTGCCCCATTTATATTGGAGTGCCTCTCTTCTTCTGGAAGCATCCCTCTTCTGATGGGGCGCCCCCTTTCTGCTGGGGTGCCCTTCTTCCGCTGGGGCGCCCTTCTTCTGGTGAGGCGCTCCTTTCTGCTGGGGTCGCCCGTGTTCTACTGAGGGCGCTCTTCTACTGGGCGAACCCAAGTTCTGCTTGAGGTGCCTCATTCCTACTGGGGGCGCCTCTCCTCTGCTGGGGCGCCAGTCTTATGCTTGACGATCCCAACCTACGTTGGAGCCTTGAGGTGCCCCACTTCTGCCTCGGGCGCCCCACTTTTGCTGAGAAAGTCCCGTTTTTGGCGGGGTGCCCCTTTCATCAATTTTTGGGGAACGATACGACTGGACGCTTCCCAAGCCCGCAAGCAGCACGACGGCGGTCACGAGACGGAATGTAGCCGGGGAATCACCCTCGCCATCTGATCAAGAGCTTATCGGTGTCGGGCGGCGTGTGGGGCGCCGCTTAGCCTATGGGGGTGCACTTTGCGTGATGGGGGTGCACTTTCAGGGGATGGGGGTGCACCTGCACCCCCATACATATAGAAAGTTACACCGCTGTCGATAGGCACTTGATTATAGGCACTAGGATTATCGATAGGCACTAGGATCGTTGATTGATCTTTATTCTTTGCAAAAAAAACATACAGGTTCACTCACTGATCAAAAGTGACCTGTGGACTGCAGCCTCTGGTCGACCGGGGTGGGCGTGCTTAGAATCTCAGACACTCATGACTGCATCATGAGTGCCAGATGGGTGAGGCGTGAGACTGTCCCATATATAGTGGCACGAAGGTTAAAGGTAGTGTGCCACCTTTGAAAGATTTCCCATTTTATTTTTTCTAGGATAAGAAGCTTCTGTTTTTACCTAATATCGCAAAAAAATCAAAAATGGGCCTGGAATAGTGCCTTTTTCGCCTAAAAGTTTATCGGTTTTTAGATATGTACCTATAACAACTGTAGTGGGCTCACCTGCAAACAGGCGTCGGGCAACAATCGCGAATGCGGCGCACTTGTGACAATAAGCAAAGGTCATTATAGTGTTACGACCATACGACGTACGGGAATGAGTTATCAGCTGTCTAATCGTAGACAACACAATGTCGAGCCTTAAACTGCAAGCCCGTATTGGTATTGTTTCTTTTATTTGGCTGTCGAACATTATTTATGGTTTGAAATATGATTTTATGTAAAATAATTGATATGAAAAAGCCGTCTTATAAGTTATGACCCCATTTCACCACACGCAAGTGGCAGAAATGACAATGATCAGCTGACGCATTTTTCTTGGCCGAAGTCAGAGCGCGCAGCCTGACGCACCACCACCGCACCACAAAGTATGAGCAGAAGCCGCGCCCAAAGCCAGGGCCCCGGTAACGTGAGGTAGCCTCATACTTTGTGGTGCGGTGGTGGTGCGTCAGGCTGCGCGCTCTGACTTCGGCCAAGAAAAATGCGTCAGCTGATCATTGTCATTTCTGCCACTTGCGTGTGGTGAAATGGGGTCATAACTTATAAGACGGCTTTTTCATATCAATTATTTTACATAAAATCATATTTCAAACCATAAATAATGTTCGACAGCCAAATAAAAGAAACAATACCAATACGGGCTTGCAGTTTAAGGCTCGACATTGTGTTGTCTACGATTAGACAGCTGATAACTCATTCCCGTACGTCGTATGGTCGTAACACTATAATGACCTTTGCTTATTGTCACAAGTGCGCCGCATTCGCGATTGTTGCCCGACGCCTGTTTGCAGGTGAGCCCACTACAGTTGTTATAGGTACATATCTAAAAACCGATAAACTTTTAGGCGAAAAAGGCACTATTCCAGGCCCATTTTTGATTTTTTTGCGATATTAGGTAAAAACAGAAGCTTCTTATCCTAGAAAAAATAAAATGGGAAATCTTTCAAAGGTGGCACACTACCTTTAACCTTCGTGCCACTATATATGGGACAGTCTCACGCCTCACCCATCTGGCACTCATGATGCAGTCATGAGTGTCTGAGATTCTAAGCACGCCCACCCCGGTCGACCAGAGGCTGCAGTCCACAGGTCACTTTTGATCAGTGAGTGAACCTGTATGTTTTTTTTGCAAAGAATAAAGATCAATCAACGATCCTAGTGCCTATCGATAATCCTAGTGCCTATAATCAAGTGCCTATCGACAGCGGTGTAACTTTCTATATGTATGGGGGTGCAGGTGCACCCCCATCCCCTGAAAGTGCACCCCCATCACGCAAAGTGCACCCCCATAGGCTAAGCGGCGCCCCACACGCCGCCCGACACCGATAAGCTCTTGATCAGATGGCGAGGGTGATTCCCCGGCTACATTCCGTCTCGTGACCGCCGTCGTGCTGCTTGCGGGCTTGGGAAGCGTCCAGTCGTATCGTTCCCCAAAAATTGATGAAAGGGGCACCCCGCCAAAAACGGGACTTTCTCAGCAAAAGTGGGGCGCCCGAGGCAGAAGTGGGGCACCTCAAGGCTCCAACGTAGGTTGGGATCGTCAAGCATAAGACTGGCGCCCCAGCAGAGGAGAGGCGCCCCCAGTAGGAATGAGGCACCTCAAGCAGAACTTGGGTTCGCCCAGTAGAAGAGCGCCCTCAGTAGAACACGGGCGACCCCAGCAGAAAGGAGCGCCTCACCAGAAGAAGGGCGCCCCAGCGGAAGAAGGGCACCCCAGCAGAAAGGGGGCGCCCCATCAGAAGAGGGATGCTTCCAGAAGAAGAGAGGCACTCCAATATAAATGGGGCACCTCAAGCAAAAGTTGGGCTCGTCCAGCAGTAGTGGGGCGCCTCCAGCAGAAGAGGAGTGCCCCCAGCATAGGGCCGCCCCAGCAGAAAGGGGCGCCACACCAGAAAGGGGCGCCCTACCAGGAGAGGGATGTCTACAGAAGAGAGGCACCTCAATACAAAAGGGGCACCTGGAGCAAAAGTTGGGTTCGTCCAGCAGCAGTGGGACCGGGGCGCCCCCAGCAGAGGTGGGGCGCCCCTAGCGGCCCCGGCGGAAGTGGGGCGTCCCAGCAGAACAGGGGCTCCCCAGCAAAAGAGCAATGCCCCCTTTATACCGAACTTATGATTATAAAATTGTTTTGTTTCCTTTTTATTCTCGAAAACCGTAAATTTTCGACGGTTACGGGCGCCGCGGTGGCTGGATCCGCCAGTGACCACACTTGTCAGATTTCTGCAAAATGACAGAGGCGAGGGGTGAGTTTCACCGCTCGACACTTAACGTTCCTTCCTTTTGGGGAGGCGAACGAGTGTGTGCACTCACGAGTATGCAGTCAGCCGTTCACATTTCACATGCACACGTGCGAAATGTAACTCCCAACTGACCTCCGCGGGCTTCCTATTTATCTAGCTGGCCCATGCATATGTAAGTGCTTAGCATGCATTGGCATGGCCGTTCTTGAGATAAAGAACCGTTTTCTGCACGGGCGTTGTGCGCACGTGCAGCAAAGTGAATTATTATCGCATGACTGCAGTCATCAGACAACCTTGCCGAAGTACCTAATAAGTGAATCTCAAGTCAAGCAACAATGCCCCTCCTATCTTCCCTCCTCGACTCCTCGTATATGCGTAAGTGCAAGCATATATCTATCAATGCAAAAGTTTCCGGTTTCCCGTTTCATAAAAAAACAAAATTCTAACGACCAATTGAACACAAAGTTTCAAATAAACAAATTCAAAACTAGGACCGTACCCCCATAACACCATGAAGTAATCATTCGGCATTACCAAAAGACAATGGAAATGAAGGTAGGTAAATATTCAGGTAGGTATCACTTTCATCTATGTATTTCTAACAGCCATTTATTTTCTTGTTGCCTACCTACTATATTACACCTATCAATGACTTCTCAACAGTAGGTACCCATCACTTCACTCTACTTTTCGTCTCACTTTTTGTTCACTGCTAATGTTCTGTTAAATCATTCATCACTGTGTTTTTACTGACTATGTCTTACCCTTTTCTACAATAACCATGAACCATTGCGCTACACTTTCAGCAAATCAGCGTATACGGATAGACACCGGGCTCGTTCTATTTGCAGCAGTATGGCACAAGAAATTCGGAAACACGTCCACATTACAGGAGGCCCACCTGGAGCGAGGTACGTACAATAATTGACATTATTTGCGTAGATAAGTTAGCATGTGACTTTCTACACTTCTACCCAATTATACACTCTGTTCCATACCAAGCTTGCGGCCGAAGTGCCTTGCTAAAAGCAGTCCGTCAGTTATCATCTGGACAAATACCTACCTATTCCTAATGTATTGAAAGAGCGTGTATGAAATTCCACGATAAAAAGTTAAATAAATGGCATGTAACTGTCGTCACTCATTTAACTGTTTCAATATTTTTTTTTTCATCGTAGATTTTTTATATCACCCAATAATAATCTCCCTGCCTCCCTCTCCCTCCCCCCTCTCTCTCTCTCTCTCTCTCTCTCTCTCTCTCTTTCTCTTTCTCTCTATGTTCTGCTAGATTTGTTTCCCAGGACTTACCGCCTGCGTTTTAACGTCACCGAAAAGCACGTTTATCTAGAGAAGATCACCGTCCGAATAGGGGAACAGGCAGCGTTCTCTGGATATATGCTGCAGTCGGAAAAGAAAGGATGATGGGGGAAACCCATCCAGACAGCTACATGCACATCTACAAACTGCGAGAAACGCCATCAATCTGCATCCACGTCGCCACTGTCAGTTGGCTATGGGCGGCCGGTGAATGCCTGCTGTGTCTGTGGGGGAAATATTTGGTTGATTTAAGGGCTAATTTTTATACGACTGATTCTACATACCTGGATAACATTGTGTAATTGTGTTACAGGGGAAAATTGAGTTTTTTTTTCGTTGGTTGGTTCCACCCAGTCACCTGTTTTGAGCTTCGCCTATACGGCTATACTTGTACCTAGGTATACCATGAGGGGAGGGATTGTTTCAACATCGCTTGACATTGCCGGGTGTTCTAACTGGTAATACAGCGTATGTCGAAACAGGTGCGTTTCGAGGTGCCAGGTGGTGTGGCATCGGATTGACAAGTCTGAATTACAGCGCTCGGTGTTACAAACGCCGGGTGTTCTAACTGGTAATACAGCGTATGTCGAAACCAGGGGGAAGCACTCGCCTTGGCCGTATATGGGCCAGAATGTCTAACGATTTCGGCCATGTTGTGTATACCAAAGTCTTGAAAAGTTGATCGCTGCAATCAAACTGCAAGGATGAAGCAGCAGCACTTTTGAGAAGTGTACCTCTCACTAAACTGCACCTCTGCTACCGTAATGCAATTTATATTTCTGGTATACACAACATGGCGGAAATCGATAGACAAAAACAAGCCACCAATGGTCCTTCCAGTATATATTAGAGTTCAGTGGTCGAAACAGGTGCGTTTCGAGGTGCCAGGTGGTGTGGCATCGGATTGACAAGTCTGAATTACAGCGCTCTGAAATCGGGAGCGAGTTGTTTCATTTGTAACGCTCGACAGGGTGTATGTATGTAAGTACCTATGTATGTGTGTATGTATCCATATACGTATCTATGCATTGACATCAAAAGCCTTGGCCACATATGGCGTGGCGATTATGGCTTAGATCCGAGTACCTATAATGGGTAACAATCATGCGGGCAGGGGGATCAACACTCAGCACTAGACGACAGTCATCCATCGATGGTGGTCGCGACAATAGTCATCTACACATCTACATAAGACAAACAATATACATACCTAAGCACAAACAGGTCGTCCACCTATGGGAAGCATGCTTTTTCCGTTACTTTACAGACGTCAGCGGCGTAACGGGGTCTTATTCATCAGCGCGGCCCTGACAGACCGGGCGAAGCTGGCAGGTGGCAGCTGCACTATCTGGGATGGGAGGCTATTCAACAGCGCCGCGGCTCGGTACTCAAAACGCCGTTTACCGGTTTCAAGTCTCGGTTGGGGAGGATGGAGGAGATGATCCTGCCGTGCGTGTCTGTCTCGAAAATTTTGATTCGCCACGAATATTTCATGAAAAATGAAAATTTCGTGGCCGTTCGCCGAATTTATAATAAACGAGCATGATCGCCAAACAGCCGCCGAGTCGCCGCCGACATGTCGCTGCGTGCGTCGACTTGTTGCCAAGGTATCGCCGACTATTCGCAACAGATTCGCCATTCATTCGCGATGTTCGCCGAATCATGGATCAGCTTCGACCCGCGCACGATTAGGGGGCCCCCACCCGTTTTCTGCAAATCGGGCTCTGTCGGCGAACTGTTCGCCTCTGTCGGTAAACTGTTCGCCGATTTCCTACACGACGTGATTAGGCGACAGGGTCGTGGCCAAAATTCGGCAGTGTAACACGGCCTTTAACAGTGCAGCGAGGTCCTCGGGCTCTCCGTGCTTAACCCGCGCCCTGGTGCCAGGATGAGGGCTATTTTTTGCCCCCCCCTTTCAACACTTTTCGATATAACTCCAGAACCGTTGCGTCGATCGTCACCAAACTTTCAGTACCATCCCGGGCATCAACTTTACATATTGTGCCAAAAATTCCAAACGCTTTGATAGGTTGGCCGCAAATGACGTCAGAGTGACGTCATGTTCTGCCGTTTTCGACCCAAAAATGTTTCGCGGAAAGAGCTGTCAGTATAGCTTTGAAGATAGGTGCAGAAAAAAAAACTTTTAGAACATTCAAGATGTAGAATTATCAGGGCTACTAAACTGCTATCTCGAACTTGAAATTTTCGAATTTTGACCCTCCCCAAAAATATTTAAAAATATAATAATGGCCAATAAATCCAAAAAGTTTTTCGATTTTCGAAAATAAGACGGAATATATATATGATAGCCCCAGCCTACTTCTATTCACATACCAAATTTTAAATCAAAACCTTTTTTGCCCATCTTATAGCGAAAAAACTGTTCAAAATTAATGATGTCAAAAATTTTCAAACTCAAGTTTTAGAAATCATCTAGACCACGTAGCGCAAAACAAAGACCACCGTTAGACTAGCCGTGACGAGCTGCATCGAATCAATACCCATTTTATTAAAAAATATCAACTTTAAAATCATTTTTTATAGCGCACATTGTATTGGATCACACCTATCACACACCCGTCGCACCGTCGCACCAGGGGACACAGCACTGACCTCTCGACCCGCCAGTCTTCTCCGCACGGGTCACATGAAACCACGTGCGGTATAAATAAACACCAATGAACTCGTCACACGGTGACAGAAGCACTGAGACACGTCAGAATCACCTGCGACCGTCGCAGCACTAGTAACAAGAAGAAAGGCCCTGCCGTCCGGACTGCCGGGGTCTCGGCCGCTCCCGCACCGTGTCAACGGCCGATATACAGCGGCGGTTCAGTGTCATCGGCCGATATACAGCGACGGTTCAGTGTCATCACGCGCACAGAAACACGGCAATAGGTTCAGACCACCCCGAGTCCCCACCGACCGACAGTTGCACGGGTGCACTCGGCGCTCTATGCATATCAGCTTATTAACCCGCGCATGACTGGAGGGGGGGGGGGCGCTACAGAGCCCCCTCCCGTTTTTCAGCAATATCTTCTGAACCGTTAGACGGATCAACACGAAACTTGCGGTACTTTGACTTACCCTCATCGGCATCAATTTGACACCTTGTGTTAAAATTTCAGCTTTCTAGTTACCATGGTTTGGCCGGAAATGGCGTCAGAGTGACGTGATGTCGGCCGATTTTGATGCAAAATATTGAATTACGGCAAATGCTCTCAAGAGCTTAGTTTTAACCCTCTCCGGCCGAGGGGGAGGGGGCGGGCGGCGGGTGCCGCCTCCCCATAGGTTTTTCACGATAGCTCCGAACACGATGGCGACAGAGAGCTAAAACTTGGCATACCTGACCTTTGATTCAAGCCAGATCTTTTGAAACCAACAGCATTTTCAGGTCAGGTCAGGTCACTGACCTATGACGTCATAAGTGAACCTCTGCACGGTCTTCAGATGTCGCAACTTCGCAACGCCCTCACTGCCAGAGGAGCTTTCACAGGGAAATGAAACTTGCAGGATCGTATCCATTACGAGTCTCACAACTCGTACACCTCAGATTTTTCTTAAGGTCATATAAGGTCAGGTCATTTTCGTGACCTCACCATTATAAGTCAATGGGGGAAAAATGAAAACTGCTATTCTGGCGCCAGGAACGATCTCCAGCTATCTCAAGCACACATAATCGTGAATTGATGCACTCCTTGCAAAGTTAGATGCGTCACTTTTGCAATGTTGACCTTGCCTTACGTCATTTATGACTAGTGATGTCAAGTACAGAAAATCGGATTATCGATACCAAACCTTGGGGACCAACCAAAACCGTGGGGAAATACCGAAACCGAACGAACTTGGAAAGATGAGGGAAATACCAACTTTTTACCAATTTCTTATCCTATAGGTACATAAGGGTTCATAATACCAACAAAATACCAAACACATTAGGATTGAAATACCAAATAGGTACCAAGTTGGTATCAGTTTGGTTTCTTCGGTATGTTGGTATCCGATTGACATCTCTATTTATGACGTCATCAAGGTCATATTAGTTTTTCGTCAATAACTCCCGATCAAATTCAGCTAGCGAGTCGGGAAAGCCACCAATGGACTCAGGAAGACCTGCCGAATCGAATGATATGCGACATGACCTATTTCGACCAACTTCGTGACCTGGGGGCGCTGACCTGACCGTGACCTGAAAACAACACCCTAAGTTGACCTGACCCAAACAAAAAGTATATCATTCGACGCGCCTGAGCGAGGCAAACACGATGCTGCCAAAATCACGGCTCTGCGGCCTATTTTTGCGAAGTTATTCACCATAAACTGAGCCATACCTTGGGGCACTTGACCTGACCTCAGAGGTCACCGGTTGACCTAGGACCTTAAAATCGGGTACCAATCTCTGCGTCTCGTAACGGCGCACACGCTCGTTTTTTCCGCGACGCGCTAGCTCCACCAGGGGCGAAACGGCGAGGGGGAGGGCCGAGGGGGGTCGTACCCGCCCGCCCCCCCCCCCTCGGCCGGCGCGTATATGTAGAAAGCCAATAGGTCCGGCGAGGGTTAAAGCTAGATCCAATTTCTTTGCATCAGTGGACTACAAATACACGTAGCTATCAAATTACTATCTCGAATTTTCGAAATTTTAATAAAAAAATGTTTTTTTACAATTACAAAAATATATTTTTTGATTTAATATTTCGCAAAAATCGGAATATATGTGATAGAACACACACTGATGAACTACTCTAGTGTTTGGCCCAATATCTTCAAAAATAGCCAAGTTAGGTATTAGCATTATTGTCAACATTTTACAATGATATAGGTATTTTTCAAAACCATTTTTCATGTCGTATTTGACATCGTACAGCAATATTAATGCACCATCGTGTTTCTGAGCTCAAACTGCATCTGATAGGTTACTTTTTGTTGAACAAATTCATTTTCAAAATTTGACATTTTCTTACCTTAAAGTGACCTGAGCTCCGGTAAATTCAGCTGAAAATGACCTCAAATGACACAGCCAACATTATTTTCGAAATCTACGAGTAAAATGGACCATAGGTAAAACATGCGTCAGGTGACCAATACCTACGTGATATACAATTTTCGTGACCTAGGATGACCTGGCCTTGACCTGAAAAATTCGAAGTAGAAGTTCGGTACCCTCAGGGTATCTAAGGCATAGGTATATCAAGGAAAGTGTAAACCAATTTTTTCCACATATATTTCGTTCGTGTAGGCAATGCATGCGCATAACATACCTACCTACACAATCCGCGTAAACCAAAAATGAGCCTGATCCGTTTTGTCAGCC